GTTTACTCAAACTCATGTCCACTGAGTCAGTGATGCCATCCAACCATCTCATCCACTGTCGTCCCCTTCTCCTACTGCCTTCAATCTTTCCCAGCATCAGGGTCTTTTCAGATGAGTCAGCTCTTCCCATCAGGTGGCCAAAGTATTGGAGTTTCAGCTTCAACATCAGTCCTTCCAATGAACATTCAGGACTGATTTCCTTTAGGATGGACTGGTTGGATCTCCTTGCAGTCCAAGGGACTCTCAAGAGTCTTCTCCAACACCACAGTTTAAAAGCATCAGTTCTTTGGTGCTCAGCTTTCTTTATAGTCAAACTCTCACATCCCTACATGACTACTGGAAAAACCATAGCCTTGACCAGACAGATCTTTGTTGGCAAAGTAATGTCTCTGCTTTTTAATATGTTGTCTGGGTCAGTCATAACTTCCCTTCCAAGGAGTAAGCATGTTTTAATTTCATGGCTGTGGTCAACATCTGCAGTGATTTTGCAGCCCCCCCAAAATAAAGTCTGCCACTGTTTCCACTGTTTCCCCAACTATTTGCCATGAAGTTATGGGGCCGCATGCCATGATCTTTGTTTTCTGGATGTTGAGCTTTAAGCCAACTTTTTCACTTTCCTCTTTCACTTTCATCAAGTGGCTCTTTAGTTCTTCTTCACTTTCTGCCATAAGGATAATGTCATCTGCATATCTGAGGTTATTGATATTTCTCCCTGCAATCTTGATTCCAGTTTGTGCTTCATCCAGCCCAGCATTTCTCATGATGTACTCTGCAAATAAGTTAAATAAGCAGGGTGACAATATATAGCCTTGGCATACTCCTTTTTCCTATTTGGAACCAGTCTGTTGTTCCATGTCCAGTTCTAACTGTTGCTTCCTGACTTACATACAGATTTTTCAGGAGGCAGGTCAGGTGGTCTGGTATTCCCATCTCCTTCAGAATTTTCCACAGTTTATTGTGATCCACACAGTCACAGGCTTTGGCATAGTCAATAAAGCAGAAATGGATGCTTTTCTGGAACTCTCTTGCTTTTTTGATGATCCAGTGGATGTTGGCAATTTGATCTCTGGTTCCTCTGCCTTTTCTAAAACCAGGCTGAACATCTGGAAGTTCACGGTTCATGCACTGTTGAAGCCTGGCTTGGAGAATTTTGAGCATTACTTTACTAACATGTGAGATGAGTTCAATTGTGTGATAGTTTGAGCATTCTTTCAGATTGCCTTTCTTAGGGATTGGACTGAAAACTGACCTTTTCCAGTCCTGTGGCCATTGCTGGGCTTTCCGAATTTGCTGGCATATTGAGTGCAGCATTTTCACAGCATCATCTTTTAGGATTTGAAATAGCTCAAATGTAGGTATGTAGGTACTGTGTTTATATATATCTATAGATAAAAAGCCTCTTGATGAAAGTGAAAGAGGAGAGTGAAAAAGTTGACTTAAAGCTTAACACCCAGAAAACTAAGATCATGGCATCTGGCCCCATCACCTCATGGGAAATAGATGGGGAGACAGTAGAAACAGTGTCAGAATTTATTTTTTTTGGGCTCCAAAATCACTGCAGATGGTGGCTGCAGCCATGAAATTAAAAGATGCTTACTCCTTGGAAGGAAAGTTATGACCAACCTAGATAGCATATTAAAAAGCAGAGACATTACTTTGCCAACAACAAATGTCCATCTGGTCAAGGCTATGGTTTTTCCAGTGGTCATGTATGGATGTGAGAGTTGGACTGTGAAGAAAGCTGAGGGCCGAAAAATTGATGCTTTTGAACTGTGGTGTTGGAGAAGACTCTTGAGTGTCCTTTGGACTGCAAGGAGATCCAACCAGTCCATCCTGAAGGAGATCAGTCCTGGGTGTTCATTGGAAGGACTGATGCTGAAGCTGAAACTCCAATACTTTGGCCACCTCATGTGAAGAGCTGACTCATTGGAAAAGACTCTGGTGCTGGGAGGGATTGGGGGCAGGAGGAGAAGAGGACGACCGAGGATGAAATGGCTGGATGGCTTCACCGACTCAATGGGCATGGGTTTGGGTAAACTCCGGGAGCTGGTGATGGACAGGGAGGCCTGGTGTGATGCGATTCATGGGGTCACAAAGAGTCGGACATGACTGAGTGACTGAACTGAACTGAACTGATCGATATGGTTAGGTATAGATATAGACACATACCTATAGATAAAATTAATGTATAACATTATTTAATTTGAAGCATACAACATATTGATTTGATATTTGTATATATTGTGAGATGATTGGATAATAAGTCTAGTTAACATTTATCACCATACATAGTTACACTTTTTTTTTTATTGTTTGTGATGAGAACTTTTAAGATATTTTCTCTTAGCAACTTTCAAGTATACAATACAGTATTATTAACTATAGTCTCCATGCTATACATTACATGCCCATGATTTATTTTATAATCCAAAGTTTGTAATTTGCCTCTGGCAACCATCAATCTGTTCTCTGAATCATTAGAAAGTGAAAGTTGCTTAGCCGTTTCTGACTCTTTGTGACCCCATGGACTATACAGTCCATGGAATTAACCAGGCCAGAATACTGGAGTGGGTAGACTTTCCCTTCCCCAGGGATCGAATCCAGATCTCCTGCATTGCAGGCAGATTCTTTACCAGCTGAGCCACAAAGGAAACCCAAGAATACGGCAGTGGGTAGCCTATCCCTTCTCCAGCAGATCTCCCCTATCCAGGAACTGAACCAGGATCTCCTGCATTGCAAGCGGATTCTTTGCCAACTGAGCTACGAGGAAAGATGTATCATTAGAGTGGTTTTACAATCTCTAGAGTTGTAGGAATGAAAAGTAAAAAGGCAGATTCCTTATTTACAATAGGCAAGATATGGAAGCAACAGATGACTAGATAAAGAAGCACACACACATGCACACACAATGGAAAACTACTCAGCCATAAAAAAGTGTAAAATGTTGCCATTTGCAACAACATGGATGGATATGGAGGGTATTAAGTGGACTAAGTCAGACAGAGATAGATAAATACTGTATGGGATCACCTATATGTGAAATCTAAAATATAAAACAGACTAGTGAATATAACAAAAAAGAAGCAGACTCACAGATACAGAGAACTAGTGGCTACCAGTGGGGAGGGGGAAGGGGAAGAGCTAGATAGGGATAGGGGATTAAGATGTTCAAACTACCATGAATAAAATAAATAAGCTGCAAGGATATATTGTACAGCACAGGAAACATAGCCAGTATTTTATAATAAAATTATATTATAAATGGAATATAACCTCTAAAAATTGAAAATCACTATGCTGTATACCTGAAACTCATATAATATTGTACATCAATTATATGCCAATTAAAAAATTCAGATTCCTATGAATGTTGAATCAGGAAGTCTGGGGTGTATATGCTATGGGGTTGAGTGATGGAAAGGAATATACATTTTTACCAAGTCCTCCAGATGCTCTCTTTGCTCTTCTGAACCTCTCTGAGCACAGGGTCTCTTCTGTTCCCTGGAGTTCTTCCTGCTGAATCATTTCTCATCTGCTCTCGAGGTCTTCAGTCTGGTTATGTCCACCATTATCTGGGCTCAGTATATGGGCCTTGGCTTGGATTGCATCCAAGCAATGGTTGTATCAAATAATTATATTAAATACTTGTCTTTAGTGGCTAGAGTTGTGAAGAATATAGAATAAACATGGCTTTGATATTTTAAGAGCCAAGTTATGTAATTATAGAGCATAATATTTGAACATTTATAGTCTCTCAATGAAAGTTTAAAAAGTAGGTTATATTTGGCTCTGGATTCTGTTAAGGACTGGCCTAACCAGCCCCATTTAGGGGTGCTCCAAAGCCGCCTCTATGGATTAATTAAATATGTGATTACAGTACTGAGGATATTTCAGCATTTAGTCAATCTAAAAGACTCTATTAATAGTCAAAGAGAAATTAAGTTTAATTGATAAAATTGTGGAGTTTGTTTTTGATCATTTAGTAACATGAACAGTATATGCAATATATGTAAGAAAGTCTCTGTGTAGGAACTAACAGTAGGCAAAAATCTAATAGTCACACACTACTTTGTGTACTCAGGACTGTATTATTTTTTCTTTTTCTCTTTTTAAAAAGCAGGTTTATTAACATATTATTTACATAGCATAGAACTCACCCGTGTGAAATATACTATCCAGTGTTTTTTAGATATTCTGTCCCTAAGAACAATATGAACCACATCTCCAGTGGGGGGGGGGGGGGGGGCGGGGGATTCAAATCAAAAAGGTACTTGGGAGTTTGAGAATCTTCCTAGTTGTTATTAAAAACACATCACATAAAAATATCAAGCTTTTGTCTCAGATTAATTCTTTGGTATAGATTTCTTTCCTCCTTTGTTTTGCTTCCAAGGTAAGAGGGGCTGTGAATATTTCAAAAGACCACATGAATTCCTAAAACTTTTGCTGTTGTTTTAAAATTTTTGATGATCATCCCAAAGTACATTATTTGGTGGTGAAATCTGATAAAGACTCAATTTAATTTTTTTTTATAGGAAAACTGTTGATGTGGTTGAAGGGAATTGGAGAAATAGTAAGCAAAACTTGGACAGAAAATCTACCACCTTTCTTGAGTTGAACCACCATAAAGAAGAACCTTGTTCAGCTCAGATATTTTCTTTTCTCCTTATCTTATCGTTAGTTATTATTAACAAGTTCAGATGGAGATGTACCCAAATTTGTAAATGATTTGTATGCTGTTTTTCAAGTTACAAAGAAAGGAAACTGGCAGCTTTTAAATAGAACTTTTAAGGAAATAGAAATATTTTTTATTATAAGTCTGAGAAAGATAGAGACGAGGATTGCTCCTGTTTTCTTTCTTCTATGAAAACAATCACAGACTGCTTGGAATATGACCAGATTTCAGTTGTTATTGTTCTTACCTTTTATATGTCTTTTCTGTCAAGTGACCCACCAAAGACTGCCGCATTTAGAATCCTTTCAATCTCTAATCTTTAATACAGCTTGCTCCTGAGACGAAGGCTGTCATTCATTGGATTATGGATATTCCTTTTGTGCTCTCAGCAAATCTTCATGGAGGAGACCTTGTGGCCAATTATCCATATGATGAGACACGGAGCGGTAGGTGTTCTTCCTGTTTCTTTAATTGATTCAAGTTTTACAATTACTTTACAAGGGTTTATTGAATGATTTCTGTAATATTCTTTTAAGGAACTGGTTGTTCAGTGGTTTTGCCTATAGAAATACATCTGTTTAACTGGAATATCCCCTGTTTCATGTGGCATTGGCATATACCTGGCAAAAAAAGACTGTAATTAAAAAAAAAAAATTAAGTTAAGAGAAGCATAATCACTTAGGTAAGAGAAAGGGGAAAAAAAACAGAAGTCATGAACTTGGGTAACTCTTGGATTCCAGTAAATGGAGGAATAATAGATCTATGTAGTTTTATATACAAGACAGCTTAAAACTGAAGGCAAACTTTTAGAACTCCATCAGAGGCCCATGAATATCTCTTCATGTGTCTTATTATGCATTCACACTTCTACATTTTGGAACTGTTTCTTGGCGGTGTCAGGGAGAAGAAGTGATGCTTTGATTTTCTTTAACTAGTTTTAGCTAATCTTCAGCCACAGCAAACTTTAGCCAGATAGATATTCTCAGCTCAATTTTTGTTGTTCCAAGAAATTACCTGCTTTGAATCAATTTTCAGGAGACTTTGAAGAGTTAGGTCTTTGTAATACAGAATATTGTTGCTGTTCAGCCTCTAAGTCATGTCTGATGCTTTGTGACCCTGTGGACTGCAGCATGCCAGTCTTCCCTGTCCTTCACTGTCTCCCAGAGTTTGCTCAAATTCTCATCCACTGAGTTGGTGATGCCATTCAACCATCTCATTCTCTGTCATTCCCTACTCCTCCTGCCCTCAGTCTTTCTCAGCATCAGAGTCTTTTCTAGTAAGTCAGCTCTTCATATCAGGTGGCCAAAGTATTGAAGCTTCAGCTTCAGCGTCAGTCCTTCCAATGAATATTTAGTGTTCATTTCCTTTAAGATTGACTGGGTTGACCTCCTTGCTGTCCAAGGAACTCTCAAGAGTCTTCTCCAGCACCACAATTTGAAAGCACCAACACAGGATAGTTGTATATATTGGAAACTTTGAATTTTGAAGATTCTTTGGTGAAACATCCTTGAAATTTAGAGACTTTATGGTTTGTCAATAGCTGGGAGGTTTAAAGGACTTATATATTTGATAATAGAGAATAAGAATATTCTGTGCCAAAATATGTATTATTTATTTTAGTGGTAGGAGATTTTTAAAAACTGTAAATTCAGATACTATGTGTGACACTATGTGTGTGTGATACTATGTGTGACAGTGGTTCACGGTGCCTATTGGATTTGTACAGGTGCAATTTATAAATTAAAAATTTTAACATGGAAATCTCCTTACTGTCTTCCCAAGTCCAATTTACTATGTGCTTTTCACCTTTTCTTGTGAAGCTTTCAATTCATTAGAAGAATGTACATTCTACTCAATTTCTACTTTGTGGTATCAGGAGTGGACCTTATAAAACCTGAAAGAAAACTAAGTGTAATTGTTGAGAACTTAAGCCTTCACTCCTTTCCCATAGTGATGAGCTAAAAATGCATCAGTAGGAGGTCAACACTAAATCCATCTTCAGGAAACATGCAGTGCTGGTTTGTGTCGGTTTCTTTAGTGTTGTGGCTTTATTTTCCAGGCAGTGCTCACGAATACAGCTCCTGCCCAGATGACGACATCTTCCAAAGCTTAGCTCGGGCGTACTCATCCTTCAACCCTCCAATGTCGGACCCAGATCGGCCCCCATGTCGCAAGAATGATGACGACAGCAGCTTTGTAGAAGGAACGACCAATGGTGCTGCATGGTACAGCGTGCCTGGAGGTGAGTTTCCCTTTCACTCTTCATGTGAGTAGTGGCTTTTAAAAAATAATTACCATTTATATTTAGCTTTAGAACTGTGGTATGAGAAAAGACTTGAGAGTCTCTTGGATTGCAAGGAGATCCAATCAGTCAACCCTAATGGCAATCAGTCCTGAATACTTATTAGAAAGACTGATGCTGAAGCTGAAACTCCAATACTCTGGCAACGTGATGAGAAAAACCGGCTCACTGGAAAAGACCCTGATGCTGGGAAAGATTGAAGGCAGGAGGAGAAGGGGACGACAGAAGATGGGATGGTTGGATGGCATCACCGACTCAATGGACATGAGTTTGAGATGTAGAAGAGACATAGGAGAGGAACTGAAGATATCCACTGGGAAAATACAAATTGAACACTGTTAATTACCCTAGTTTTCAAATTCTGGCCTTAGGGAACAAGATACCATCATGATTATATGTTAGTCACGCTTTGACATATGTAAATGTATATTTTAGAGGGCTGGCTTTGGCCTTTAGCATATCTTGGTTCACATACCTTTTGTTTTTACTTAATAAGTTCCACTTCATATGGGATGTTTATTCATTACTGCAGTAAGTACTATTATCAGTTCAGGAAGCTCTACACATTTTATTGAGTCTGGAAATGGAAAAACCCACCTCAGCACAGCTGGAGGAAGCATTTCTAGATATCAAGGCAGCTCTTACAGCCCTCTGTTCGAGTATGAACTTTGAAGAACTCTTATTTTTCTGGCTACCTGGATCACTCACATTTGTGTAGTATCACCTCTACCAAGGATAAAGAGTGAAATGTAAAGATACTGTTTTTTCCTCTGCCTAAGAACAATTTTCTGTGGCCCACCTGAAAAGGAAAGTGAAAAGAGAATTAGGACAGTAGCAGTAGTGGCTAATTATAGGACTTGGTTTGTTTAATAAGATTTTGTTGTTGTTGTTGAATTATGCCTTGATAAATATATTCTTTCAGATATTTTTCTTTCTGATATATGTTTAACTTGTTTTATTTAAAACTGAGATAGTTGATGTACAATATTATGTAAGTTACAGTGTACAACATAGTGATTCAGAATTTTTAAAGGTTGCACTCAATTTCTTTGTGCTCAGTTGCTCAGTCACATCTGACTTTGTGTGACACCATGAACTGTAGCCCGCCAGGCTCCTCTATCCATATGATTTTTTCAGGCATGGATTGGAGTGGGTTGCCATATAAAATATTGGCTATCATCCCTATGCTATAAAATATATCCTTGTAGCTTATTTATTTTATATGTAATAATTTTACCTCTTAATCTTCTACCCCTATCTTTCCCCTCCCCTCCTTGCTCTTCCCACTGGTAACCACTAGTTAGTTCTCTATATCTGTGAATCTGTTTTTTTTTTTCCTGGTTGTTGTTATATTCACTGCTTTATTTTTTAGATCTGTGTGTAAGGGATATACAGTATTTCTTTCTCTGTATGACTTATTTCACTAGGCATAATACCCTCCAAGTCCATTCATGTTGCAAATGGTAAAATTTCATTATTTTTTATGGCTGAGTAGTTAGTGGATGTGATGGAATTCCAGTTGAGCTATTTCAAATCCTGAAAGATGATGCTGTGAAAGTGCTGCACTCAATATGCCAGCAAATTTGGAAAACTCAGCAGTGGCCACAGGACTGGAGAATGTCAGTTTTCATTCCAATCCCTAAGAAAGGCAATCCCAAAGAATGCTCAAACTACCACACAATTTCACTCATCTCACATGCTAGTAAAATAATGCTCAAAATTCTCCAAGCCAGGCTTCAGCAATACATGAACTGAGAACTTCCAGATGTTCAAGCTGGTTTTAGAAAAGGCAGAGGAACCAGAGATCAAATTGCCAATATCCATTGGATCATCAAAAAAACAAGAGAGTTCCAGAAAAACATCTATTTCTACTTTATTGACTATGCCAAAGCCTTCGACTGTGTGGATCACAATAAACTGTGGAAAATTCTGAAAAAGATAGGAATACCAGACCACCTGACCTGCCTCTTGAGAAACCTGTATGCAGGTCAGGAAGCAACAGTTAGAACTGGACATGGAACAACAGACTGGTTTCAAATAGGAAAAGGAGTATGCCAAGGCTATATATTGTCACCCTGCTTATTTAACTTATATGCAGAGTACATCATGAGAAACGCTGGGCTGGAGGAAGCACAAGCTGGGATCAAGATCGCCAGGAGAAATATCAATAACCTTAGATATGCAGATGACACCACCCTTATGGCAGACAGTGAAGAGAAACTGAAAAGCCTCTTGATGAAAGTGAAAGAGGAGAGTGAAAAAGTTGGCTTAAAGCTTAACATTCAGAAAACTAAGATCATGGCATCTGGCCTCATCACCTCATGGGAAATAGATGGGGAGACAGTGGAAACAGTGTCAGACTTTATTTTTTTGGGCTCCAAAATCACTGCAGATGGTGACTGCAGCCATGAAATTAAAAGATGCTTATTCCTTGGAAGGAAAGTTATGACAAATCTAGATAGCATATTAAAAAGCAGAGAAATTACTTTGCCAACAAAGGTCCATCTGGTCAAGGCTATGGTTTTTCCAGTGGTCATGTATGGATGTGAGAGTTGGACTGTGAAGAAAGCTGAGCGCCAAAAAATTGTTGCTTTTAAACTGTGGTGTTGGAGAAGACTCTTGAGAGTCCGTTGGACTGCAAGGAGATCCAACCAGTCCATCCTGAAGGAGATAAGTCCTAGGTGTTCATTGGAAGGACTGATGCTGAAGCTGAAACTCCAATACTTTGGCCACCTCATGTGAAGAGCTGACTCATTGGAAAAGACCCTGATGCTGGGAGGGATTGGGGGCAGGAGGAGAAGGGGACGACAGAGGATGAGATGGCTGATGGCATCACCGACTCGATGGGCATGAGTTTGAGTAAACTCCGGAAGTTTGTGATGGACAGGGAGACCTGGTGTGCTGCAATTCATGGGTCGCAGAGTCGGACACGACTGAGCGACTGAACTGAACTGAACTGAGTGTTCCATTGTGTGTATATACCACATCTTCATCCACTCATCTGTTGATGGATACTTAGGTTGCTTTCATATTCTGTCAAGTGTAAATAATGCTGCTTGAATGTTGGGGTGTATGTATATTTTTGAATTAGTGTTTTTGTCTCTTTTTGGATGTATGTCGGGCTATATGGTATTTCTATTCTTAGTTTGTTTAGAAAGCTTCATACTGTTTTCTGTAGTATCTGCACCAATTTGCATTTCCTACAACAGTGTTCAGGGGTTCTTCTTTGCATTCTTGTCAACTGATGTTATTTGTATTCTTTTTGAATATAGCCATTCTGACAGGTGTGAGGTGATATCTCATTGTGGTTTTCGTTTGCATTTCTCTGATGACTAACGATGTTGAACATCTTTTCATGTGCCTGTAGGCCATCTGTGTGTCTTCTTTGGAAAAATGTCTATTCAGGTCTTTTGCCCATTAAATAATAATCAAGTTTTTTTTTTTTTGAAATTTATTTTGAGTTGTACGAGTCCCTTACTTTTTTTGGATATTAGCTCCTTATCCAATATATGATTTGGAAATACTTTCTCTCATTCCTTAAATTGCCTTTCTATTTTGTTGACTGTATCTTTTGCTGTGCAGAAGCTTTCAGTTTGATGCAGTCCCACTTATTAATTTTTGCTTTTGCTACTTGTATTATGTTGGTGTAAACAAAACTGTGGTTTCAGACTATGAATTTTACATTATTATAATTAGGCTCAAATACATGTTTATTAATCAAAATAGGAACCATTACAATCAACACTTTTTTGCCAACAAGAAATGTTTGTTTATTCCTATAACATAAAAATCCATGCTTTGGGATTCAGTGAACTCTAGGAAAGCTTTTTCTGCCTCTTGCTGGTTGTGGAAACATTTTCTTTATAAAATGTTATTGAGATTGATAGCTTATGGTGTTTGGTGCCAAGTTTGTGGTCTCTGAAGGAGAAGATTTAACTCTGGGACCAACACAGTCTCAGTCACTCAGAGCTTTGTGCAGCAAAATATTATATATAGTGATAGGACAGAGAAAGCTTCTGACATAGAAGCTTCTGACATCAGAAAGGGGTAGAAAGAGTACCAGCTCACTAGTTTAAGCAGAGCATTATATACTTTTCAACTAGCTGCTAAGAATAGATAAAAAGAATACCTCAAGGTTGTAAAAGTTCTACCAGGCCCTCTCCCAAGGCATGCATCCTGAGAGAACTTCAGTACAAGATTAGCCAGAAGGAATAAGTTCCTGGCAACATATTTCTGGGTGAGATATATTGTTGCTGAGAAACAATTTCCCAGACAAGCTTTGTTACAATTATAATAATTAACATAGAGCCTAAGTAAAGCCTAATGGGGTCTAAGAAAAGCATTTTCCCGAGTAGAATATATGGCTGCTGTATATTCATTAGCTCCATATCTAAAGAAAAGCCAGTTTTCTTGGGCAGGATACACTGTTGCACAAGGCTTAAGGAAAGCATGAGTGAGAATGTCCACCTTCTCCTTAAAGGGCCCTGGACTTCCTATCAGCCTGCCTAAGTTAACTCTTTCAAGATGCTTGAAGAAGTGGTAGATGGTTGGCAAGAAGTCAGATGAATATGGTGGATGAGGCCAAACTTCATAGCCCAATTCATTCAACTTTTGAAGCATTTGTTGTGTGATGTGTAGTTGGGTGTTGTCATACAGGAGAATTTGGCCCTTTCCATTGACCAATGCCAGCTGCAGGCATTGCAGTTTTTGGTGCATCTCACTGATTTGCTGAGCATACTTCTCGGATATAATGGTTTTGCCAGGATTCAGAAAGCTGTGGTGAATCAGATGACAGCAGACCACTAAACAGTGACCATGATCTTTTTTTGATGCAAGTTTGACTTTAGGAAGTGCTTTGGAGCTTCTTCTTGGTCCAACCACTAAGCTGGTTATTGCTAGTTATTGTGTAAAATCCACTTTTTTTTTGCACATCACAGTCTAATTGAGAAATGGTTCATTGTTGTTATGTAGAATAAGAGAAGATGACGCTTATAAAATGATTTTTTAAAAATTTCAATCAGCTCACTTATTGAGCTTTTTCACCTTTTCAGTTTGCTTCAAATGCCTCATGATTATAGAATGATTGATGTTGAGTCTTCATCAACTTCTCATGTAGTTGTAAGAGGGTCAGTGTTGATGATCTTCTTAGTTGGTCATTGTCAACTTCCAAAGGCCAGCCACTGTGCTCCTCATCTTCAAGGCTCTTGTCTCCATTGCCAAACTTCTTGAACCACTGCTGCATTGTATGTTCATTAGCAGTTCCTGGGCCAAATGCAGTGTTGTTGCAAGTTGTCTCCACTGCTTTATGATTCACTTTGAACTCAAATCAGACGATCACTCAAATTTGCTTTTTGTATATCATCACTTCTATAGTCTAAAATAAATATAAAATAAACAGCAAGTAATAAGTCATTAGCAAAAAACATAAAGCTAGATGTTGTGCAGTAAAATGATGTATAAAATAATCACATTTATTTAAGAATATATTCCAGTATCAAATGACAAATTTCAACAATACAAAACCACAAACACTTTTGCACTAATCTATACTTTTGGAGTCATAGCCCCCAAATTTAGTTAATAAGACTGATGTTGGGAGCTTTTTTCTCTGTTTTCTTCTATGAGCTTTACAGTTCAAAGTCTTGAATTTAATCCTTTAATCCATTTTAAATTCATTTTGTGTTAGTGTAAGATAAAAGTCCCATTTGATGCTTTTTCCCCTAGCTTTGCAAAAAAATGTTATTGGTACTTTGACAGGGATTGTATTCAGTCTATAGATAGCTTTGAGTGCTATGGATATTTTAACAGTATTAAATTTATGAACATGGGATATCTTTCCATTATCATTGTCCCTTCTTTCATTTCTTTTATCACTGTCTTATAATTTTCTTTGTTCAGCTCTTTCATCTCCTTGGTTAAATTTGTTCCTTAGTATTTTATTGTTTTTGTTGCTATTATAGGTGAGATTGGTTTCTTTATATGTTTGTTGGGTAGTTTTTTGTTAGCAGATAGAAAGGTAGCTGGTTTTTGTGTGTTGATTTGGTATCCTGCAACTTTAATGAATTATTTTATTAGTCCCAATAGTTGTGTGTGTGTGTGTGTGAGTGTGTGTGTGTGTGCTTGGTAGTCTCTAGGGTTTTCTATAGATAAGGTCATATCGTTACAGACAGAGATAAATTTACTTCTTCCTTTCTAACATGTGTGTCTTTTATTTATTTTTCTTGCCTCATTTCTTTGGCTAGGACTTCTAACACTATATTGAATAGGAATGGTGAGAGTAGGCTTCCTTGTCTTGTCTTTGATCTTAGAGGAGGAGCTTTAAATCTTTCAACATTGAGTATAATGATAGTTGTGGAATTGTCATATATGGACTTTATTATGTTAAGGTATGTTCCTTTTCTACCCAACCTGTTGAGAGTTTTTATCATGAAAACATGCTGAATTTTTTCAGGTGATTTTCCTTCATATTTTGAGATGATCATTTAATTTTTATCTTTCATTCTATTAATGCAGTATATTATATTTGTTGATTTGTCTTTGTTGAACCATCCTTGCATCCTAGGGATAAATTTCACTCAATCATGGTGTATGATGTTTTTTATGTGCTGTTGAATTCAGTTTGCTAATTTTTTGTTGAGAATTTTTGCATCTTTATTCATCATGACAATTAGCCTGTAATTTCTTTTTCTGTAGTATCCTTATCTGGCTTTGGAATCAGCATTATGCTGGACTTGTAAAAAATAAAGTTTGAGAGTGTTCCCTTCTCTTCAGTTTTTTGGAAGATTTTGATGAGGATTGGTGTTAGTTCTTTAAATGTTTGGTAGAATTCACCAGTGAAACCTTCTGATTCTTGGCTTTTCTTTTTGGAAAGTTTTTGATTACTGATTCAATTTCCCTACTAGTAATTGATTTTTTTTTTTTTTTTCTGTTTCTTCCTGGTTCAGTCTTGGTAAGTTGTATGTTTCTTGGAATGTATCCATTTCTTCTAGGTTGTCCAGTTTTTGGCTATAATTGTTCACAGTCTTTTATGATCTTTTGCATTTCTATGGTATTAGTTGAAATTTCTCTCCTTTCTTTTATTCTTGGTAAGTTTAACTAAAGCTTTGTCTATTTTATCTTTTCAGAAACCAGCCATGTGTACCCATGGCTGATTCATGTTGATGTGTGGCAAAAAATATCACAATATTGTAAAGTAATTCTTCTCCAATTAAAATAAATTAATTAAAAAATAAATAAAACCATAAGAAAAAATAAAAAAAACAGCCCTTAGATTTATCTTTTCTATTGTTTTCCCTGCCTCTATTTCATTTATTTCTGCTTTGATCCTTATTATTCTCATCTTTCTGCAGCTTTGTGCTTGATTTGTTCATTTTCTAGTTTTTTGCAGTGTAAGATTAAAGAGTTTATTTTACACATTTCTTTTTTCTTTTTTTTGAAGCTCTTCTTCTTTGTTTTTTATTAGTTGGAGGCTAATTACTTTACAATATTGTAGTGTTTTTTGTCATACATTGACATGAATCAGCCATGGATTTACATGTGTTCCCCATCCTGATCCCCCCTCCCACCTCCCTCTCCGCCCGATCCCTCTGGGTCTTCCCAGTGCACCAGGTCCGAGCACTTGTCTCATGCATCCAACCTGGGCTGGTGATCTGTTTCACCCTAGATAATATACATGTTTTGATGCTGTTCTCTTGAATCATCCCACCCTCGCCTTCTCCCAGAGTCCAAAATTCTGTTCTATACATCTGTGTCTCTTTTTCTGTTTTGCATATAGGGTTATCGTTACCATCTTTCTAAATTCCATATCTTTTTTCTTTTAAATGTAGGCATTTATCATAATGAGCTTCTTTCTTAGGATTGCTTTTGCTTCATCTCATACGTTTTGGTAGGTTGTGTTACTGTTTTCATTTGTTCAAGATATTTTGGTTTCCCTTTGACTTGTTCAAGAGCATGTTGTTTACTTTTCTACATGTTTGTCAGTTTTCTAGTTTTTGTCTTGTTATGATTTCTAGTTCTGTACCATTGTGGTTGGAAAACGTAGGTGGCATGATTTCAGCCTACTCTAGTCTGCTGAGATTTGTTTTGTAATCTATGATATGATCTATCCTAGAGAATGTTCCATGTGTGCTTGAGAAGAATGTTTATTCTGCAGCTGTTGGATGGCTTGTTCTGTATGGCTGTTAGGTTCATATAATATAAAGTATAGTTCAAGGCCAGTGTTTCCTTGCTGAGACTGTATGGATGATCTAGTTATCCATTATTGGAAGTAGGATACTGAAGTCCCCTACTATTATAGTACTGTAGTCATTTCTCTCTTCAGGCCTATTAGTATATATTTAGATATATTTAATATATGCTTAATATATTTAGATACTCCAATATATATGCTTAATATATTTAGATACTCCAATGTTGAGTGTTTATGTATTTTTGATAGTGTATCATCCTTTGATGAATTGATCCCTTTATCAAAATATAATGATATTTGTCTCTTACTACAGGTTTTTACTTAAACTGTATTTTTTTTGAGAAAAGTACTGCTACCTCTTCTCTCTTTTGGCTTTCATAAGCACTGAATGTCATCCCTTCACTTTGAGCTTATGTGTGTTCTTAAACCCGAAATGAGTTTCTTGTAGGCACCACATAGTTGGGTCTTATTTTTTTTAATCTACTCAACTACTCTATGCCTTTTGATTAAAGAATTTAATCTGTTTACATTTAAAATAATTATTGGCAGGTAAGGCCTTTCCATATTGTTGTTTTCTGTTTTGAAGTTACTGTTCCTTTCTTCCTCTCTTGCTCTCTTTCTTTGTGAATTGATGATTTTCTACCATGGTATGCTTTGATTCTTTTCTCTTTACTGTTTTTGAATAGGTTTTTGCTTTATGGTTAACATGTGACTTACATAAAACATCTTATAGTGTAATAGTCCATTTTAGGCTGTCAACAACTTAACTTTGATTGCAAGCAAAAACTTTACCCTACATTTTATGTTTTGATGTCACAATTTACATCTTTCCATTTTGTGTATCTATGAACAGATTGTTGTAGCTATACTTATTTTTAATATTTTAAAAACTTTATAGTAGAGTGAATAATACACTTTCATATTACAGTACTAGAATATTCTGAATCTGACTATATACTTACCTTTATCAGTGTGTTGTATGTTTTTGTATGTTTTCATATTACTAATTAGGTCTCTTTGGCACTAAGTTATGCCACCTTAGGGAAGGAAGTGATACAGGTGAAATGAAATTGTTCCTCTTCCTCCCTTCAACATGTCCAATCTTGAATTTTTTTCTCTAGTGGTGTGCTTTAACTTTTCCATTAGATTCCTGAACTTCCATAAACACACTCTATTCATGGGTAATTGTTAAAATTTGTGTTTTTGGGGGGGAGGGAAGACAGTAGAAAATTCCTGCTTCACCATTTTGATGATGTCACTCTCCTGCTGTCTTTGAAGTTGATTCCAGCACTGTGGGATGTGACTGATACTTGCTTTAGCACTATACAACAGCAGTGCATTACACTAAATGACTGCTTAAGAACCTGAGAGAATCTGTGCTTGTGAAGTGGTAACTATCCCCCAAGTATGTTGTTCCTTCCCATATAGTAAGTGATTTCATTTGCAATTTCCCACAGTCTCCTCAAGATGCATGGATTGGTACAGTTTTTACCTGGCTCTTAGCAGAACAGTCGGTGTGGGTTCTAGTCGCCACATGCATATTTTAACTTTTCATTTGGTGTTTTGGCAGGGATGCAAGATTTCAATTACCTCAGCAGCAACTGCTTTGAGATCACTGTGGAGCTTAGCTGTGAAAAGTTTCCACCTGAAGAGACTTTGAAGAACTACTGGGAAGATAACAAAAACTCCCTCATTAGCTACATTCAGCAGGTAAACCCAGTCTCCAGCATAAAATGGGAGATCTAAGTGCACAATAGTAACCTGGTGCACAGTAGTCCACTAAGAGGATCACAGACTATATGAATCCACCTGACCTAGAGTGAGAATGATGCATTTGGAAAATGCATCAGTCATTATTCAAATGGTCTTTCATTTGTAATTGGTTTTTAGTTCATGAATGTTTGCTGCAAACTGATTACACTGGAGTTATAGAAAGGTGGGGTGACATCCTATTTTCTTTCATATTGCATTAATCAAGGGCAATCCTAGGATCCTCCTCTACCCTGATCACCTTGGGTTTGTCAGACATTCCAGGCAGGACCAAAACTAGAATGAAGTAAATGAGGCACCCAGGATGCAAAATTTAATGAGCCATTCACTCCCAGGGTTATGCAGGTGTAGGATCAGCACCTAGGAGTGAAAGTCTCCTTATGCCTCACTCGTCTCAGCCCAGACTCAACTGGAGATGAGGTAATGGTAATGATGGGTAAATTACAGTTACTGGGCATTAACTCTTTCCCAGGCATTATTCTAAATGCCTTACATGTAGTAATCTGTTAATTTAATTCTCACAACCCCATGAGGAAAGTTATATCATCATCAACATCATCTTCTTTAATTCCACCACCATTATCATCCATGAATTAAAAATAAGAAATCAGAGGTACAGAGAAGTTAAACAACTTGCCTGAAGTTATTCTGCCAGAATCCAGACTCTCTTGTTCCAGAATCACCATGCTGTATTGCCTCTCATAACATAAATTTAGATCTTTAGCAGAGAGTCACTGTACAGAATTTTGGAGAATCTCACCATGTGTCAGAATAAAATACCTACCTGTTCAGACTTGATCCAGGCCAGTTCCCTGTTAGCCCCACCCCTCTGTACTAGGTAGAGACTGACACCAGGGGCAGTACTGTTGGGAAAGACCTAAGGACTCTGTTCTTGGTTTGCAGTGCCGTGACAATTTCACTTTCCGTCCTGTATGTGGCCATTTACATCCAAAGTCAGGGAGAGTGATATTAGTTTCATATACTGGCAGGTAGTAAAGACTGATTTTTAAACTAATTTGTTACAAACAAATGCTGTTATATAGATAAGTAGCTATTTGCACATACATGTACATATAAACAGGCTTCCCAGGTGGCATCAGTGGTAAAGAACCTGCTTGCCAATAGAGAAGACATAATAGATGCAAGTTTGATCCCTGGGTCAGGAAGATCCTCTGGAGAAGGGAATGGAAACCCCTGGGAAAGTCTAAGGACAGAGGAGCCTGGTGAGCTACAGTCCATAGGGTTGTAAAGAATAGGACACCACTGAAGTGACTTAGCTCACACCCACAAGTACATAGAAACATATACACATGAACCCGTGCATTAAAAATGTGAAATCAGCTTAAGAATTCTTTTACACTTGTCAAGTATCCATGCTGCTGCTGCTAAGTCGCTTTAGTCATGTCCGACTCTGTGCGACCCCATAGATGGCAGCCCACCAGGCTCCCCCGTCCCTGGGATTCTCCAGGCAAGAATACTGGAGTGGGCTCCCATTTCCTTCTCCAATGCATGAAAGTGAAAAGTGAAAGTGGAGTTGCTTAGTCTTGTCCGACTCCTAGCGACCCCATGGACTGCAGCCTACCAGGCTTCTCTGTCCATGGGATTTTCCAGGCCAGAGAACTGGAGTGGGTTGCCATTGCCTTCTCCACAAGTATCCATATACCTTACTAAAAGGTATTATCATGGAATAGATACAGTGATGACAGACAGTGATTAAAAAACATCCATTATGCAGGATTTTTATCAGTCAGTGGAATTAACATAAAAGTACATGTTAACACAAAAAGATATTTTCCAACAACAAAGCTAAAGATAATTAGCTATGTTGATTCTGAAAAAACCTTAGTGGGCACCCTTGCAGAATGTCATTTGAGGAGAGCTATATTTGGATGGATATTTGAAGAGCAAAATTTAAAAGTAAAGTTGTAGGCTGAGTAGGTAAGATGGGGCTATTTGGTGTGTTCTTTCCTTAGATATCAAAGAATGCTTGCTTAATTCAATGCTTTTCATTTTATTTATTTTTACAGCCAAAATTTATTAAGCTACTTTTGTGTCCTAGGCAACCTGTAAGGCTCTGTGGAGAGTGCATTTAGTCTTAAGTTCAGATATAAATACCTAACTACAAGAGAGGATGATAAATGCTAAAATAAAGAGCAGTAGCAGTACACAGATGCTGCACATGAACTTATTCTAGTTGCAGTGAGTGGGGGCTACTCACTAGTTGTGGTGTGCAGACTTCTTATTGCGGTGTCTTCTCTGGTCTCAGAGCATGGGTTCTAGAGTGTGCAAACTCAGTAGTTGTGGCTCACAGGCTCTAGAGCACAGGCTTAGTAGTTGTGGTGCCCAGGCTCAGTCGTTGGGTGCATGGTATGGCATGTGGAATCTTCCTGGACCAGGGATTGAATCCATGTTCCCTGCATTGGCAGGTGGATTCTTAACCATTAGGCTACCAAGTAAGTCCTATCTTAGTTCTTGAGAAAAAATGCACTATAAAACAAAACCCAAATGTGTGCCATCAGAAAGAGTAGAATGACTGTCATATTTATGGTGGCAGGTGCATTAATTAACCTAAAAGCTGTATCAGTTTATGTAAGAATCAGCAGAAAAGAAGAGGGATCAGATGTTTTATACAGTCCTGTTTTATGCCACGTGAAATGAAAATTTGATCTGTCTATAGATCTCTGTGACCCATCCTGGTGTAACATCACTATTATTGTATAGAATGTATGGAAGCAGTAAGATTTGTATTTGCAGTGAACCCACACCAGCTTGCCTCAAAGGACACTCCAGATTAGGGAATCAAAGGCTGGTGGAATATCAGTGAAGGCTGCCAGAACTTTTGTGTTGAAATTGTTTCTTGACAGTAGAACATTATGGTGGTGATTAATAATTGAACACCTGTGCCTAAAATCTAATCATTGACTAGTTTTATAACAGATGAAAATAGGTGATTCAGTTCAGTCACTCAGTCATGTCCGACTCTGTGATTCCTTGGACCACGGCACGCCAGGCCTCCCTGTCCATCACCAACTCCTGAGGTCTACCCAAACTCATGTCCATTTAGTCGGTGATGCCATCCAACTATCTCATCCTCTGTCGTCCCCTTCTCCTCCTGCCATCAATCCCTCCCAGCATCAGGGTCTTTTCAAATGAGTCAGTTCTTCGCAGGAGGTGGCCAAAGTATTGGAGTTTCAGCTTCAGCATCGGTCCTTCCAATGAACACTCAGGACTGATTTCCTTTAGGATGGACTGATTGGATCTACTTGCAGTCCAAGAGACTCTCAAGAGTCTTCTCCAACACCATAGTTCAAAAGTATCAATTCTTCAGCACTCAGCTTTCTTTGTAGTCCAACTATCACATCCATACATGACCACTGGAAAAACCATAGCCTTTACTAGACAGACATTTGTTGGCAAGTAATATCTCTGCTTTTTAATATGCTGTCTAGGATGGTCATAACTTTCCTTCCAAGGAGAAAGCATCTTTTATTTTTTATTTTTATTTTTTTATTCCAACCCTTTATTACAGAAGATTTCAAACATATAGCAGAAATGGAAATGAATGTATAATGAACATTCCTCTCTCCACTGGATTTGTAATTAATATCTAACTGTATATCCCTGGTCACATACTTATCTAACTCCTCTCTCTTTCTTATCTCTCTCTCTTCATCAATCCATCTTATTTCTTTTTTTTTTTCTTTTTCATTTATTTTCATTAGTTGCAGACTAATTACTTTAAAATATTGTACTGGTTTTTGCCATACATTGACATGAATCAGCCATGGATTTACATGTGTTCTCCATCCTGAATGCCCCTACCAACCCCCTCCCCATCCCATCCCTCTGGGTCATCCCAGTGTACCAGCCCTGAGGACCTGTCTCATGCATCCAACCTGGACGGGAGATCTGTTTCACACTTGATAATATATATGGTTCAATGATATTCTCACCTTCTCCCATAGAGTTCAAAAGTCTGTTCTATACGTTTGTGTCTCTTTTTCTGCTTTGCATATAGCTTTATAGTTATCATCTTTCTAAATTCCATATATGTGCCTTAATATACTCTATTGGTCTTTATCTTTCTGACTTACTTCACTCTGTATAATGGGCTCCAGTTTCATCCGTCTCATTAGAACTGATTCAAATGTATTCTTTTTAATGACTGAGTAATATTCCATTGTGTATATGTACCACAGCTTCCTCATCCATTTGTCTGCTGATGGGCATCTAGGTTGCTTCCATGTCCTGGCTGTTATAAACAGTGCTGCGATGAACACTGGGGTGCACGTGTCTCTTTCAGATCTAGTTTCCTCAGTGTGTATGCCCAGGAGTGGGATTGCTGGGTCATATGACAGTTCTATTTCCAGTTTTTAAAGGAATCTCCACACTGTTCTCCATAGTGGCTATACTAGTTTGCATTCCCACCAGCAGTGTAAGAGGGTTCCCTTTTCTCCACACCCTCTCCAGCATTTATTGCTTGTAGACGTTCGGATAGCAACCATTCTGACTGGCGTGTAATGGTACCTCATTGTGGTTTTGATTTGCATTTCTCTGATAATGAGTGATGTTGAGCATCTTTTCATGTGTTTGTTAGCCATCTGTATGTCTTCTTTGGAGAAATGTCTGTTTAGATCTTTGGCCCATTTTTTGATTGGGTCATTTATTTTTCTGGAATTGAGCTGCAGGAGTTGCTTGTATATTTTTGAGATTAGTCCTTTGTCTGTTTCTTCATTTGCTATCATTTTCTCCCATTCTGAAGGCTGTCTTTTCACCTTGGTTATAATTTCCTTGGTTGTGCAAATGCTTTTAAGTTTCATTAGGTCCCATTTGTTTATTTTTGTTTTTATTTCAAATATTCTGGGAGGTGAGTCATAGAGGATCTTGCTGTGATTTATGTCGGAGAGTGTTTTGCCTATGTTCTCCTCTAGAAGTTTTAT